AACTTGTTCGAATTTCGGAAAGCTCTCGAAGAAAGGCAAAAATTTTTTAATCCGGGAAAAAAAAGCAAAATAAACCAAATCCAGGTACAAAAAACAGACCAGAACCCTGGTAAAATGGTATAGTGGTTATCTTGTTGAGTATATACAGGATAGTTTGGAGCCATTATCTCCAATAAATGACCTAATTTGTTCGAAATACTGGAAATTATCTGGAGAATATTTTTTTTTATCCGGTAAAAAGCAGAATAACTCAATTTAGCACAACATAGACATCAAAACAACCCTTCTTATCAGTTATAGTAAATACCCTGCTTATAAGTCCGAGCATTGACACACATTTGCTCAAACCATCGAAAAATTTATCTGGAAAACTTATCTCGAAATTAGAACTTATGCCTAAGGTAAATGAAATTGAAGATTTTTGCGATGATATAAACATCAGACTAAGAGAACAAGAATGATATACTCTTCCAAAGATTCGATCATTGTAGATAACCCTCCTTTTGATGCTCGCGATACAAAAGATTTGCTCATTCACTAAAGTGCTCTGGTTTCTGGATGAAGTTTTGAAACTGAGAGTCAGTGAAATTAGGTTGAAAACCTACCATATTATGACAAATAGAGGTGGTTTAAAAACTAGATTGATGCCATCGATCATTTCAAGTATCAAACGACTGGCTGAGAGTAAAAACTTCATCACTTCGACTCAAAATTACGCAGTGTTTATTTATGTCAACCGAGTTCTGGAACGCCATTTCATGCAAAAATTAACACTGAAGAAGATTTAGAAACTCTCAAGAACCCAATTATTCGTGAGCACCAACAACAACAGCGAGTTGAAACATTTAGGCTGCTGATAAAACCAAGTTTTAAAGGAAACAAAAGACGACTTCTGGATGATGAAGAGCAAATAATGCGGTTATATGCGTCTCTATCTCGAAAGCAAAAAAGGCGTTTGTGGAAATAACGAAGGAAAAAAAAGGAAAACATTGGAAGGAATTAGTTCCTGAATTAAACTCGAAATATTTTTGTTTGTTTACTAGCAGCTTCTTCTAAGAAGACGAACTGACAATGAAATTTCTGTCAGAAAGGCTGAACTTAGCAGAGAGTGTATTTGTTAAGATAGTTGAATACTGATTTGGTATATGTACTATCAGAGCGAAAATAAAACTTTTTTTAAATTTTCAAGCAAAAAAAAAATTCTCAATTGATTTTTTGTAAAGTTTATTTAAAAATAACGAAGAAAGAACTAATCAAAAAAAGTAAATTGAAGGGATAGTGTTTTTTTTCTTTTTTTGTGTGTGTTTTTTTATCTCCACCTTTGAGTGCTGCGACTCCCGCGGCAACAAATTGTAAAACGTCACTCAGGTGTACTTTTTTATAGAATGGAACACTGCTACTTCCGCGGTTACCATCCTGCAAGTGAGAATAAGTTTGATGCCTAACTACGACTTCAGCGGTGTTGCTTCAGGCAGAACTCAGACGATATGTGTGTAAGTATTAAAGCGTGTGTTTGAGTTCATGATTTTGTCAGAATCTCAATAGGTTATTCTGCGACTTCCGCTCTACAACTACAATTTCGTCTCAAGTTTTATACAAAACACACACTAAATGGAAAATAAAATAAAAAAGGGAAAGAAAGGAAAAAGTAAATCGAGAAGAATAAAATCGAAACATAAATCGCAGTGAGGACAAAACGGATTGATAAATTTTTGAAAAAAGAAGTACACGTCTCGGCTCGTACTTATACGAAATATAAGATCACTGTATAAAAGTTTTAGTTATTTGGGATTTTTTTTTCAGAACTGGAAAACAAACCACTGGCAATAGCAGTAACCGAGACATGGTGCAATAAAAATACAAACAAAAATACGCTAAGTCTAAATGGATATCAAAAAAATTCTTGCCTGCAAAAGAACAAAAAGAGGCAGGGGCGTAGGAATGTCAATCAAAAATCAACACGATTTTTAAAGATGACTGTAAGCCATCAATTACAATTTTTTTTGGTGAAAATGTTGAGAGAGGGAGAAAAATTGCTTTTAACTGTGTTTTACAAATCACCAAATGTTGTAATAGATGGAACTTTAGACATTATTCAAGAATACACGCGGAGTGTAAAAAGCCAAACTAATTGCAAACACATACTTTACGGAAATATTAAAAAAAAGTATGATTAAAGACACGAAAAGTTAAAAAAAAAACTTTTGAACAACATATTATTTCAATGAATGCAGCCAAGATTAACAAGCAACCCAACTAGAGAAACAGCTAAATCACAGATCTGGATCGATGTTTTTTCACAAATTGTTCAAGCTCAGCTGAAACAATAGTTACATCATTATCAGATCATCTTGGTGTATACTAAAAAACGGAAGAATCTTTTAGTGAAAAGAACAAAATTAATTTTACACGATGAAGAAATTGAACAGACCATTCAAGAGGCTTCAATCGAAAGAAAAAAAACTAGACCTCAATTTTTTTATTTACAAAAATTACAGGTAACTAAAAATGAATTTTTTCTAAATCTATTGTTGAACTAGCTTCTAAATTAAACGAAAGTTTACAATCAATATTGAACGAAATATTACAAGAAAAGGGAAATTTTTTTTGCCCTAACTACTAGGATTGGTTGAGCAATCGGGCGAAAAATATAGCAGCAAGAAAAAAAACTCTTTAAAAAATTTTTCCGGGAAAAATCGCAGGTAGCTTGGTAAACTTTTAAAAACTATATAAATAAAGCAAAAGTGTGAATCAAGACAATTAAAACTAGTTACTACGAAAACAAAAAAAATCAATCAAAGACAGTTCAAAAAGTTTGTTCCAATTAGCTAAAAAATTTAATGGTGTTCACATGAATCAAAGAGTAGATTTCAATCCCGATAACATGAACGACTACTTTGTAAATATAGGGAAACAAACAGGAAAAAACTTCGAACTACTGATGAATTTAGAAACCGTGAAAACAGTGACTGAGTCAATGTTCTTTCAGAAAACAAGCAGTCATGAAACTTTTTGTTTTATTAAGTTTGAAAAACAAAACATCAGCAGACTGTGAAGGCTATAATATTTATCTAAATAATATAATAAATCCCGCAGTATGTACTTATCTTGCTAGGCTGTTCAATCGTTGCCTTCAGGGGCAGTACTTTCCTTGAATTTTGAAATTTGCCCTTGTATCACGGCTTTTTAAGAGTGGAAAGAAAGATAACTCTGGAAATTACAGATCAGTTTCTCTTCTTCCAGTAATCAGTAAAGAGCTTGAAAAGCCAATTTGTAGCAGAGTGAAAAATTTTATATTATCGCAAAAATTTTTCAAGGCCAATCAATTTTGTATAACAATTAAAAAAATTAACAGTTGAAGCAGTTTTGGATGTTATAGAGACTATCTCGAAAAGTTTATCAGCCAAAGAAGATGTCGCATGTACCTTTATTGATTTGTCCAAAGCAATTGATACCGTTGATCATTCAATTCTTCTTGGAAAATGTTATCAATATGGCGCTAGATACCCAATTCATAGAATTCTGAAGTCGCACCTTGAAAACAGATACCAATATATTGATATTGAAAAACAGTTATTACAGAAATATTCGATAGAGTTTGGGGTGCCCCACGGTTTGGTGCTTGGTCCCTTACTGTTTCTGCCTTACGTGAACGATCTTCCTGAATTTTGTACTAAATAAAAAATAACCATTTTCGCAGATGACAAAACATTGTTTAAAATTGTTAAAGATGAAGGTAAATCAATCTCTGACGAATTACAGCGCATTTCGTTATACATGAAGAGCAATAAGGTTACAGTTAAGGAAGGTCAAAATGAAGTTCTACTATTGAAGCCAAAATTAAACAGCAAGATCATTTTGAACAACAAAGCATTTTAAATAACAAATGAAATGAAATATCTAGGGGTTACATTGGACAGCACTCATGAGCACAAGCAAAATATAAATCACTTGATAAATCGATTGTCATCAAACACAGGCAAAATTTATCACTACAAACTTTTTTGGAGTCATAAATCTTTTTAAATTTCATATAAGGCTTGTATTCAACCAGTGATATAATATGGAAAACTGTTATATGGTCTGGCAAATAAAACTGATTCAAAAAGTGTTGTTATAGCACAAACAGAATTTTACGAATTCTTTTCAACTTAATAAACGAACACTCAACAATTAGTGAAAAACAAATCCAAAACATTTATTTGTCTAAAGTCGAAGAAGAAGGCCGATACCTATCAAAACAGAACAATTAGCTTCAGGATCGAAAAACTTATGAACTTTTAAATAAAATTTGATAAATCAATTTCAGTGGACACAAGGACAACAACGACTTAAAAAAATGTTGCATCAGTTTCGAGATCTTTATATAATAGACAACAAAACTTTTTAGAATTATTCTGAAAAGTCGTGTCTTTTCTTTTTTGCCTCCTGCATCCAACTCGGTAAAAGAACAAAATGTTTTGCGTTTTTTTATATTTATTTTTTGGTTTTAGACAAGCATTTTTGTAAGATAAATCAAAAATGTTATGATTTATTGATAAGCAAAATTATCTTTACTCTTACGGCGTCACTCGACCGGCTAAACACCTTTGACGTTCTCCCAAGTGTATTTGTTTTGCATATACTTGGAAACTAATTTATCATGATTATAAACGCAATTTAGACTAAAATGTTTTGTGCAATTTAAGCGCGAAAAGATCTAACCCGGAGATCTATTTAAGCTGAACTAAACAATAGCTTAGTAAGAAAAACTAAGCTCGCCTCTCGCAGCGTACATGTGATTTCTCGTACCGAACTTGTAGCCATGTGATTGGAAGACAACTATCACTACCACTGCACCACAACAACTCGACATTTGAGTCACATTTTCTCCATCGTCCCATTTTGATGATTTAAAATAGCTATTTTGCCATAGTTCTTTTTAGCTTCCTAAGATGCTCAGAAAAATAAGTTTGCAAATGAATATCGAAAAACAGTGTCTCTCCAATGTGTGAAGAAAACAGCGGAAATAGATTCAATTACAACAAATGATTAAGTTAGAAGAGTCAGTTTTTCTTCACTACATTTCTAGGCATCAGACGATTCGTCTTCCGAGGACGAGACGAGTTCAATCTGGAATCCACAGCCTCTGAGTCGTTCAATCAGAGTGGTGTCTCGGAAAGCAATGCCAGGCGTATACACTCCACCTCTAGAAAAAATCACATTGCTATATTAGACATTTTTTGAAGATTTTCTCGGCTTTTTCAAGTTTCACACCATACCCTTCAAAATGTAATGTAAAATTGTCTAAAAATTGGTCACATCACAATTTGAATGACAGTTGTATAAATCTTTTCACACTGAATGTTTTTACCGTGAGTTCGGAGTATAACATCGAAAGCCATTATAGTAATTCGAAATTGATGGCAAAATCAAAAAAGGGATTGCAAAAGATCCACTAGTGCATTGCTAATTTAGCTATTTGCCAAAGAATTTCGGCCCATTTTCCACACCGCATCGGCATTTTTTACCGTCTAAGGCTTTTGTTTACATGTAAAACTGTTATGAAAATTTTAGCGATAAAATCTATTGCTATAGAAATTTTCGCTATGCTTTTGTGACCCCTTTTCCAGACACATTTTACTGTTATACATAGTAATCATGTATTCACTGGTAGACATAGTTAAATACATCACTTCAACAGAAGAGTGTTTGAAGAGCCTCAAACGATTTTGAGCCATAGTTTCCCAATGCAAATCGAATTTTCTCCGAGCTTTTTCTTGTTAGGACCACTCTCGTAGAACGAGGAGTAACTATGGCGTAGGGTGGGGCTTTTCTCTACTTTAGATAGTTCAAAAAAGCTCACAGGGGCACAAGTTAGGTATTACATTGCAGCCCTTTCAGTCGTAAATCTAAAACTAAAAAGATATTTCAACAACTTTTCTCAGTATCGCGAGAAAAATTGGTCGGAAAATGATTTTTAGTTAATTTACTGCAGAGCAACTGATCCTGTTCTGCGATCAATTTCTGATCATTCCAATATTTTTGTAAATATTTTCATTTTGTCCATTTCTTAAGTTGAATTTTAATCTCTCCCATGAACCAAGAACTCAAGAACCATGAAGAATACTCAAGTCGTAACATTCTGTGCTATTTCATACATACTCATTTGGCATGTTGTCTGGTTCTTTCAGCAAACATAGGGCTGCCTCTAGAAATATGATGGATGTTCCAATGTACGCAGCATCTAAAAAATATCTGAAAATAAACCGAAACCTAGAAAAAAAAGTCAATCATGGGATGCTAAATAACAATAACTAAAAAAAAAGAAACGGAAAAACTAAAAAACAGCAAAAAAGAAAATGTGCATTAAAATAAAGATAATGCTTGAAAGAAAATTAAGTTTATTTCATAATAAAAACTTGAAAAACTACGACATTCGAAATTGCTCCTTCGGAAAAGGAGACACCTGCTGTAACCTCTCAGCCCTTGCCTCTTACATTTTCACGTATCGTTTATTCTTAAATCTCAGGCAGGAAATCGTAGTATGCAGTATGAATCCATTTTATATACTTTTAACTACGCCATTACGATCTTGCCAGAAATCTTTTTAAAAATGCAGCTCAAAACCATGAGAAAAGCTGCACCTTGCAAACACAAGAGAAAAAGATTAATGTAAGCCTTGAAAAAACAACATGAGATGTACCGGGATCGAAACAGCAACCTGGAGACTAGGAGTGTCACTTCGGGTCGTTTGACAAAAAGCAAACACAAGCCAACAAAAAACAAATAGAACAAATTCTATTAAATTGCCAATGGTATGCAGAAAAAGTGCCACGGAATGAGTTGTGAGTTGGGTTGACAAAAATTAGATAAGTAATTTAACACTAAGCTCCCTAGCTTATTGGTGTGAATGGTGTGAAACACTGTATGCTCGGAAACCTCATCCAATTGAATTGCCTTTTTTCTGACTTCAAAATGTTTTCTAGCTTGTATCCTTACAACAAGCCTTAACATGTGGTTTATTGACAAATGTGTTTTCAAAATAAAAAAGGAACTCAAAAACAAGTGCTAAAATCAAATTTTATGCGGAAAGTTTAAAAGTTTTTCTTTCGAGCCAACTGATTCCTGGCTTTTGTTTTTTCAAAGAAAGCGTATACGCTATAGCACACGAAACAAATTATACTTTATGAAATGCACACATAGTGCTACGTAACCATTACTCAAAAGTCAGAAAGTTGAAACGTTCCAATATTAAGACATATCTAAGCGACATCAAGGAAAACAGAAAAAAGCATAATTTTTCAAGTTTTGAGGAAAAAATTTATTAACTCAGAGGTCTTTCAATTTCATGAATCTTTACACTTGCGAGAGCAATGGTCTTGCAATCGAGAACTTTCCTGTAAACAACTTTTCTTATAAAGTTGTAAAATAAGTTGCTTTATTATAGAACCTCAGCAATTTTGAGACCTTATAGACTATGGCCTAGAGGTAACGCGGATGCATTTGTACCCTAATATCTGGGGCTCAAGTCCCGGTCAAACTTTTTTTTTCAGCATGTATGAAATGGAATTTTGTACCAAAAAAAAACGAATTATCGGATTTCGTTTGTCTGCTTATATTTTGTCGGCTTAGTCTCCACATCGAGGAATTTTCTTCCGCTGTCAACCTTTTTCATTGTAGATGCAAATGGTTTTAATTTATTCCAAAATTTTGTAAAATTAATAGCCCTGATGTTGTATATTTTCCTTGGTTTTCCTTTTTATTCTTTTTTTCGCTTTAAAAACATTTAAGCCTAAATGGTTTTTGCTTAGTTACCTTATTTTGTGTTGCTTAAGAGGCAAAACATGGTTGACTTTGAAAAAAAATTCAAGATAGTTTGTTTAGCAAGATTTCAGCATCTTAAAACTTAAATGCTCAAAATTTTTTTATGACAACAATTTCTTCCGAAAATTGCTTGCTTTCGGCTCAATGGGCATCTACTCACTTGTTCTCGGCTTATTGGCCGCTCCGTAATTATTGAAATCTTATTTAATTCTGGTGGCTGTGTTTTCGACTGTTTTTCTGAAATTATTTTCATTTTTTCGCCCAATTTTTTTTTTGCTATTGTCGACTCACTTTCTATGCTGTACTTGCTTTGTATCGCAAGTAATGAAAAACTCTACTTCATCTCTGTTGTTATGTTTTGATTTATCTACCCGCATTAAAGTAAAATAAAATAACAAAAAGAAGAATTGCCGGAAGAATTTTTTTGATTCTGATGAGTTTTTGAAATAATCAATAGTTGAAAATAAAAATCATTCATCTTTTCGCGTCAATTGCAAGGATTTTATCAAAGGGCATAATACGAAGTGAGCTTAAAAAAATCACAAGTGTATCTGCGAAAAATAAAATTTGAGCGTGAACACAATCCACGACCAAACAATAGTTTTAATTTATTTCATTGCTGTTGCAAAAAAAATCTTAGGTCGCATAAATACTTTACCTGGTCCTCGGAATACTGAGGTTGCATGCACAGTGGGTTGTTTCTTCTGATCTCTCTCGAAGCTACTGACGAAGCCCTGTCCTTTAAAGTACACTGCAAAAGACGCCTCCGACATCTGCGAAAATACATCAAAAATCAATTCAAGGAAGTATTTTTTGGATCATTATAATAATTTACGTTTTTCTTTCAACGCGACTGATTCATTCGGTTAAAAAATTTGAAATCGTTAAATGAAACCATTTACTATTATGTAGTCTTCTAATTTAATAAACCAGCGTTGCTACCAAAATAAAAAACAAGCAACTCGCTAGCTTTAACTCAAGCAGATAGGTGACGTAAATACAAGCAAAAAACTGTAAAAAGAAATACATGGCTAGCAAACAGTTGAAAAAAGTCAATGAACACTGAGACTAAAAAAATATTTGATTGAGTTTCAAAAAATATATATAAACTTAAATCTTAATTGAATTTTAAGACTAATTTATGATAGAGACGTTTTTGATAAAATTAACCAAATTTGAGAAAAAATTGATCAATAGGTAACAACTTTACAAGGTAACAAGGTAACCCAGTAACAAGATGACCCAGTAGCTCAATTTGTCTTGAAATGAATAATTACAAGGGTGAACACGTTTGAATTTGAATTATTCGCAGCTCTGAAAAAGTCACCTGTACGCATTGAGTATCATAAGTAAATGCCAAATTGACAAATTTCAAACCTTCAGAACTGCACGAAAAATAATGGCATGTTGATTAAATTTAAGCTCAGGTTGTCGATATCTTCAAAGACGAAAAAGTTGTACCTTAAAAACTATTTCGATTACACTTTGCACTTAAATGTGCGACTGACGTAAGGATACAGTGCTGATTTAAATTAACCGGACAAAACGCGTTAAACTTGAATTTTAAAACGCATTTTGCTCAAATTGGGTTGAGTTTAGGTGAAAACTTATGAAGACAAAACTTGCTTAAAATTTTAGCAGAATTAATATGGTTTAATTTGTTTTGCGAAATTCGGGCTCAAAATTTTACCCCAAAAATGGGTCATTTTGGCTTTTCTTAGTTAATCAAAAATTACGCCGAAAATACCCAGTCGATCACAGACATAGTTATATCAAAGTGAGCCCCTTACGTAGCCCAACAAACTTTAAGAAGGGTATATTCTCCAAAAAAAATTTGCAAATCGTTTAAAAACTGTTTTTAAATAAAAAGTTGCTGTTTTATATAGTAAAAACGACCTTTTTTGTCTATCAAACAAAAATAAATTAACTTATACAATGTTTTGGAGAATATACCCTTCTTAAAGTTTGTTGGGCTATGTAAGGAGCTCACTTTGATATAACTATGTCTGTGATCGACTGGGTATTTTCGGCGTAATTTTTGATTAACTAAGAAAAGCCAAAATGACCCATTTTTGGGGTAAAATTTTGGGCCCGAATTTCGCAAAACAAATTAAACCATATTAATCCAGCTAAAATTTTAAGCAAGTTTTGTCTTATAAGTTTTCACCTAAACTCAACCCAATTTGAGCAAAATGCGTTTTAAATTTCAAGCTTAACGCATTTTGTCCGGTTAATTTAAATCAGCACTGTAAAATGAACTGATCGTATAACACTGCACTCGCACAAAAAACGCTCAAAATTACACGATTTTAAAAAGTTCTAGAGTTTGAAAAATGACCAGAAGGAATTGCCAGAAGAAAACTGGAATAAAATCATTCTACATAGTATATACTTCGCATTTCTTACCTGTTTTCGAGTCGGGCCTCCTTTGGAAAAACAACCACAAGAAAAGAATCGCGGATACTGAAACAAAAAGAAAGCTTTCCGCTAGTTTTGACAAAGGTATAAGTTTACTGTGTTATAGTAATTAACTATTACTATGTGAAATGACGATAAGTTTCCTTGTGTTGTACATATATATATTTTCACTTTTATGTTATAATTTGATTTGACGATGAGTTTGCTTGTGTTGTTTAAATTGAATTTAAAAAAAATAATATAGCCTCTGTGAAAATTACCAAGATAACAGAATATTTGGTGGCAGTACCTTTTGAAGGAGCCTTCTGGTGATTGAGTATTTGGCAAAAAGCGAAAAGATAGAACCAAATAACATCATCAAAATGAGGTTGAACACGCCTCCAATAACTGCATAGGGTCTGAATCTGATCTAAAACATTCCAAAATACCACTTAGTCGTTAACATGTCTTCTCTAACATTTTTTGAAAAAAAAACATCGGTTACGTTAAAACTCCTCGCAGTTGAATCAGAGGATCGGATACAGTTTACCTTTGAAGCACGAACCCAATATGCTTTCACAATATTACAGAAAGAAATCAGAGCAAATGTATGTCCGAAGGAAAATATATCTATGTCAATATACATAATGATTAAACCTGAATTGCCTAAAACTTAAGTCAGAGGATGGTGCTCTTGCTTTCTATGAATTAGAAAAAAAAACAACTGTTCCACCCCAAATTTACGAGAAGGACACTTAGTAAGGAGGTCTTACGGGATCACTTCTTTCTCGGAGTGCTAAATGTCTCTGGGTCCTCAACACCACTGACGCATCTGAGCCCATGAATGGAATGCAATAGCCTAACTTGGGATCTCTGAAGAAGGCTCCACTAAATAAGCATATTGGTATTAATCAACAATATGACATTCATAAAGTCAACTACACGAAGACTAATTTCAGCTACCTAAGACAAAAATTCGATGGAATGTCCCCAGCTTCTTGTATACTATTTCAATAAATTTAGCCCTAAATTTTACTGGTTATATTATTCGATGATTGAAATAACACTGAAGTGATTAAAAAGAACAAATCATTGCAACTTCATGACAGCCACTTAAAAGAGCGCCCTAATCCAAACCATGTCAAAATTCAGCTATGGTGCTAAGCTGTTTCAAGATTTAGGAAAAACTGTTCTGTATTCAGGGGCGTGCTTAAAAATTTTTGATGATAGAGGGAGAGCTCTCATCTTTTTAAGATAAATAATCTCCAGGGGTCGGACGCTCAGGGATTCGATCACCTCACCAACCAAAGTTTCCCCCTTTGTTATTTTTTATGATACCCATTTTTGCCCGACCAACCCTAAAATTTCCGCGAAAAAAGATATTTTCCCAGGTAATATCTGTTTTTCCGAAATTTTAGATTGCGCTTTTTCCATTGTGCAGAAACTTTGTGCGCATAGATGGCCTTTCTAGCAATTGAGTGTGCTGCTCCCTCAAATTAAGTGTATATTGGCTCCCAATAAAGTATTCAGGTTTGCCTCAAAAAAGCCCCGAAAAATGGATGCCTCAAAAAAGCACCATATGAGGGCTTTGGAAAACCCCTCGACATACTAGATGTTGTTCGCATTACCGATTTGGCAATCGTGGACCGTAATATTTGACTGGTTCAAGTCCCTGACTCTTCCTAAGTGCTTTCAGCTGGCCTTGATTTGCGAAGCCATGGATGGCTGATTGCCACGTGCCATCATTTGCAATATATCCACTGGGTCCTGGCTCAAACTTGAGATAACTCTCCACTCCTGTCAGTTCACCTGCGAAATTGATCAAAATCAGCTTCAGTCTAAATGATTCTCAACTCTATTTTAGAAAAACTAACTCAAACATAAACAAGAGCAACCAAATTCAGCGCAAGCCGCATAAACTAATCTGGATAAAGCAATTATTTGCAGAAAAATCAGACGCAGTTTTCAAATTTTTATAGTCTTTTCAAGATTTCGGCTAGAATACGCGGTAGCTGTGCAAGCAGCACAGAATTTTCTGGCTACAGCAATTCATGTAGGGGACTTCAAAAATTCAAAACTTTGCTGTCATTTATCTAGTAAAAAGTTTTTGAGTTCAACTAAAAAATACAAGAATGACCGGTGATATATTACAATAGGTGGTAATTTTAATTATAGTACATGTATTAAAATTGAGAACTACAATGCATAACATAATCATTTCATTTTCAATCATTTGTACACGCTGCTAAGATAGTTTTTGTAAATACAGTACTCTGCCACATGAAATGTTACTCAAAAACTCAAATTTTGCACTTAAGCCATAAAATTTGGCGTTTGAAATAAATTATAAAAACTGTGCGAAGTATAACAAAAAGCGATCCAGTTATTTAACTGTAAATTACCACCTATTGTAATATATCACCGAATGACGTAAATGATTACGTAAAAACTGCAGTAGAAATGAATTGCGTGTCACCAAATTTGACTTCAGCGTCACAAATTTCTTAAATTTGGACTGGAAATAAAAAAACATATCACATCAAACTCAAACTTCATCGACAGATACAACTTTTTTGGAATCTAAATTACTGCTGAATGGGACGTAACAAAAAACTAAAGTTGACCACCTACAAGCTTTAAATGGTCATAGTTAATAACAAGACTGCTCGTTATATCAGCGCAAATGTTCCGACTGTCCCTTAAATCATATCGAATAGTTTTTGGGAAAAGAAAATATTTAAAACCTTCAAATTTTGGACAAAATCAAAGTGTGAAATTTTGAGTTGTACGAAATTAATACGACTGATCTGATTAGCTAGCCTCAATTCAATTTGGAACGATTTTCTTGAGCGGGATAATTCACCACGCATAAATAATTCCATTACGCTATCAGCAATATGAATGAATTCTTCAGAGCGAGCATAATTTAGTCCAGAACATGGCCAATTTCGCAACTTTCAAACCCCCAGAACTTTCCAAACAATGATCGAAGGTAAAATATCTTTTAACATTTGAACTGAGGAATTGCACATCTTCAATGGGGTATAAAAAATTTGTCGAAAACTGTAATTTCGATCGGCGAAAATTGACTGAAAAAAAACCACACCGAGCATAAATATTCCGTTTTCTTCGAAAGACGGAACAATGAAATAACGTGATTCCTGCTAATCGCAGAGGAGCCATCATCAGTAGGCCTTGACAGTCCTGTCGAGGATAGTCCACGAGTATTATCTCCCCACATTCCAGACTGTGTTATTTTGTTGAGCGAAGCTCTTTTCTTGCTACTCATGGCCGTTTTTTGTGTCTAGAACTTTCATGTGGTACCACTATTGCAGCCGAAATCGGTCATACCACTATGCTAAGTGTCTATGCTATAATTAGGCGAAAATAAATCCACCTTACGCCATTGCTCCTTCCAATCCCTTTGTGAAATGGGCAGATCAAAAAGACCTATCCTATGACTTACATTTAAAGTTCCACTAAACTTTCGAACCGTTCCATTTAACGGTTGAGAGCGACGGATGGGAAATTAACTGAAAGTTCTGTCAGATCTATCAGAATAAATTGAACCTAAAATATTTTAAAAAATCTTCAAACAACTTTTCTTGCCATCAATTAAAATTTTTGGAAATAAACCATAAGTCTTAACAGACGAAGACTAAACCAAAGGTTTTCGTTTGATGCCACGCTCAATATCATACGGTTATTTTTAACATGCCATTGGGTCGGATTAAACATGCATAATTAGTAAAACAAAACCAAAGACATTTGGAACAACTCAATTAAACTAAAAAAAAACGATTATTCAATTATTTTCTGATGTTAAGTTTTCATAAAAAAACAACATCAACCTTTTGCTTTTGAATTTCAATAAGTAACAAATTACAAGTATCTAGCTTGAAGTATAAAAATCATCATAATTACAGTGAATTTAAACACAATTAGACAGCTGACGAACCCATTGGGGCTACTGAATGCTGCCCTATGGTGGAGGGCGCAGAAAACAAACACAGAAAAAAGAAACATGCCAAAAAGAAAAAATCCATTGAACTTATTGTTCCGATTTTCGAAGAAAACGGAATTATTGTTCCGACTTTCGAAGAAAGTGCGGAATGTTTGTTTGGTGTGTTTTTTATTCATCCAATTGTCGACTGTTTAACTAAGCATTTTGGACGGAATTTTTTCATACCATCTGACAGATATTGTTATACTGAGCTCAAACTTAAATTGATATTTCACCTTTGATCCTTTTCGCTAGTTATGGGGTTTTGAAAATTGCTAATTTGGGAAAATTAATACGCGATATAGTGTGTACTATAACACGCGTAAGGGGCGGATTATTGCGTTCCAAAGCGAATCTAGGCAAGGCATTTGGTCGTATCATCAGAATACAAGACGCTGAATGCATCTCTCTGTAGTTTACATTAGGGTGTGGGGGATAAATTGGAAAAATATAAGAAAACCTTGGTTAATTTTTTAAAATTATTTTGTCAATTTTACAAAAAAAAACGTTTAAATTGGGCTTAAAAACTAGTCGGAACATTCAGGGCTTCGCCCTGATATACGAGCAGTCTTGTTACGCTTAAAATGGTTTTTTTTTATTCAGTCAATTTTCTCAATATTTTCTTTTTTCCAAAAACTATTCGATATGGATTGAGGGGTAGTCGGAACAATCAGGGCTTTGCCCTGATATATGAGCAGTCTAGTTCTTAACTATTATACAATTGCATGCGCGCTTCCAATACTGCGGCTAAAATGCAAAACAATCTTTGAACTATCGAGAGTTATTTGTTTGAAATTGTTAGGTTCTAATTCGTGCGCAAGCAAAATTTAAAAGTTTAATTGAGGTTGTTACATTCTGAAAAATCAATAGCCGTAGATCCTACAAGCGGCGATTTAACTACAAAATTTGAGCTGATTCATTAAAACTTATAAACCTTTACTGGCCGTACTCTCTCTCCATTGAGAGCCCTTTTCCCCAACGTAACCGATTGGGGCTAAATGCTTTGTAGACAGCCTACTGAGCCCATGCAGGAGAAACCGGTTAATAAGTCCAAATAGAGTTTCCAAAATGTATATATTTTTCGAAAAAATTTTCATAAGAAGACTCGGTTGCATATAATTAAGAAGATGCAATCCATCAAACTGCAAAGACAAAATTAATGAAATCTTCATTAGTTAAAGTGTACACATCTCAAATACCACGAGCAAAATTACGAACATTCAAAAAACTATCTAAATGTATCGCTAACGAACTGTTTTGTCACAGAATATTGAAAAACTTCAGCAGCTTGTAAAGAAGTGATCCTCTTTGAGTATTCCTTTTTGATTTTTTCAAAAGTTGCAAGCTAACACGTTGAGAAAGCTCAAGTTGATATATTCAATTCATCAAAAAAATTCCAAGTGAATTCTTTACAAAGATTTCAGAATGATTTTTGATAACACGTATATACAGCTCAAGAACAGTTAGATATTTTGCTAGCCATTTGTTTTCTTTAACTTTCTTTCGACGAAGTCAGAAAAACTATCTGGTAATATGTTTTTTGGAATTTTGAAAGTTCATGCCTAAATTCTTGCAAGACTAGCACTATAAAGATCGGAGAGCATAATTTATCTTCAACCAAAAAAGTTGATTTTTTTTTGCAGAGAACTTTAAACTTCAAATGAAAGGTCAAACCACGGAATTATTAGATTGAGCAAGAACAAACTTTTAACATTTCCCGTCTAATTTTAAATGAACCCGGAACTTCAAAAAGTTTAGAAGACCCATGAGACCGATTCATCAAAAAAAGAACAAAAATTGACATAGCCATTCACAATTTCCATGTAAAATTTGATTAGTATACGGCTCATTACAATCCATTTTGAAGTGATTCATGAGGACTTATTGAGTCCATACACGGAAACAAAATATTTAGAGCAACCAATGATGTACGCTTTAAATATGCACAGTAATTGTTTTCAGAATAGTTTCCTTTCTCAAAGTTTCCCTTAACAAAGATGAAGTAGCCATTCGCACACAAGCGATAAAACTGCAAAAAGGAATCATAAAAACGGAAAAAGCGAGAACACTAAAAAAATTTTGATCAGAACAAGAAGACGCTGATACTACAGGTTTAACATACATCCAGAACTAGGGACAACAGACACTTTCTCTAAAATTATCCACCTCACCTTGTTTTCAACTGTATTTACTATTCTATTTTCTCAGATATTCATTACCCAATAAAACGCCTTCATAAAGATAAAAGCTTGATCATCTACTGGATTGGAAAAAAGTTTACTGACCGTATAATACAACGCTCCAACCTCGCTTGTTTAAAATTGGAATCATAACGAAAGTAGAAACAATAATTTTTAACTGACTCCACTGACATCCATGAAGCGGAACTAGAAAAGAAGCGTTTTGCATTTTTTCAAGGCCCAAAACTTTCATGTAAGCAGCTAAACACGTTTTGATAATTCCTCATCTTACTCCCGGCCATGGGGATAAAAGTGTTGGCGATCTACCTGGAAACTCGTGTTTGAAATGCATGAGTCCTACATCGGCTGGGATGGAGTCGAAAGCACAGCTACCCACCACCCACACTCCCTCCCGTCTAGCCTCGTCAGACCACTTCGCCTCAATCAACTCCAGAAACTACACAAGACAAAAAAGCTAAAGGATTATCTTGATACGTACAAAGTTGACAACGCTTGTCTAGAAAAAAAACGACCAGTCAAATTGTCAAAAACCAACATGAGAAGCTTAAAAAACAGATTTCCATGTAATTCTAATTTTCTGATTTAAAACATAGTTTAAAAGGACCAGTTGGCAGCCTTGCTTACACGTTAATTGAATTGTTTTTATAAAATTCAAACACTTTATAGAATATTGCCATGATTAAACGATTTATTTATGTTTGAGCCGATTACGTTTTCACTATATCTTCTTTCAATTCTCAAAATCTTCTTCCAAGTCAAATTCGGCAAATTCGTAGAGAAGTTATCTTTCTACTTCTTCATAATTCAACTTACGTGAGGCTCTCCGCTGACATCCATATAGTGAGTTTTGGCCTCAAGAGCTGCCTTCACAACCTCTTCACCATAGAAGCGGAACTTAAAAACAACAAATATCCATCAAAACGTTTTCAGCATATGAGTTCGTTCAACTGAAAATATCATGTATTTTCACAACCACAAAAATTTTCGAAAACGTCGACTTTTTTTAGGTGGAACAAATTGATTTACCGAGCTCTCCCAAACCACTAAAGACCCTGATGTGACCAAAATTTCTTCACAATCGGCGGCTCTTAAATTGTCCAAATTGACACACTTTGACGCGTATTTCTTTCGAATTGTTGAAAAATGAAGTCGGCTTGATCAACAAAGTTTCTGGCTTTCGATCGTGAACGAACCTTTTTAAACAAAAATTAGTTCTTTTGAACTTTTCCTCTCACCGGTCCGACACAGTTGAGCACTAGTCTGGCAGACTTACACATGGCCACCAGGGACTTGTAGTTGGCCACATCAGCCTCCAACAACAACACGTCCTTCGCTTCTCCCTCGTACGCTATAAAACACATTTGACTGATAGTTAATTCAGAATTGTTCACAAATTCGGTGACCTTGGGCATCTTAATCGGTCAAAAATATTGCGTTCAAGGTTCATCGGTTTTCCGATACATTTTTACGAGCTGAATTGAGTGATTCGTTGGTCAGAAAAAATGTCGCCATTAATTTGTCATAAACTATTAAAAAAACGGAGATAATTACAATTGTAGGGAAGTCCTTCATATAAGGTCGCTATGTTTTTTGAAAACTTTTTGGCGTCCTAAAAATGATTTAAAAACATTTCTTCAGTATTGAAATTTTATTCTGGTTCTACGGTGAGACGACTGGTAGCTTTCCAATGCTCACAAGGATTCATCTTTCCTAAGAATCAAAATCTTTTCTCACATATCCGACAACATTAAAGTTAGTTTAAAACACAAGAGTCTTATATCACTAACAGGGATTGATTTTTACTGACTCAGCGATCACTTTCTCTATTTTGGCTTTACTCCTTCCAGCCACTGCAACCTCACTGCCCTGGAATCGGGAGAGGGCATTCTCAAACACGATTTGACCAGTGACACCTGTCACTCCAAATATCACTATCTCTCTCCTCCCACTGTGGTCCACTGCAGAAGGTTTACCAACATTCATCATCTAGAATTGTAAAAGATAGACATCGGACTGCTTGGAAAGAGCTAGGGGACCCTGGAGTATCCAATTGACCATATTTACGACGATTCAATGATAGTTCCATCAGTGATAGAATTGGAAGAGCTTGTTCCGACCATTGAAAATGGGGACGAACTTCGTATTTTTTTTCTTTTTGTTTTCCACGCAAAATCAGCTACTACATATAATCATCGGACTGGGTTGAGTGATATATCATAATAAAGCCCTTTCAGTCGCGATTCAAAGGACAAAAAAAATTCAAAAAGATTTTCCGTGTCGAGAAAAAGTGTAGTTTTTTTTTGTTTTTATTGTTATTTGTCTTCAAAAGTTGTTTTCCAATTTGCATATTTTACAATGACTGACGAAAATGACTAAGCTCTACTTTTTCACTCAGATTTTTTATCACACCACGCCCAAAAAACGACACTAATTTGAAAAAACAATTTTGTTGTAATTTTTTAAGACTGGTCGGAATATTGTGCTACTTGCAGAGTAACCGGCTACCCTTGTTGGAATTTGCAAACAAATTATATCATACTTGTTTTGCTGATTTAAAAAAATTGAAACTTCGATTATGCACACGTTCTCCTGAAAGCCCAATTTGTAAAAAACGGCACTTGGCACTTTTTATTTAGCGACTTAAAAAGAGTTAGTTATACGTTCCAATTTTAATATTTTGCGGCATTCCGAATGATCGATTACAACACTATAATCTGATTAGTTCGACTTATCAAACGCTAAAAGAAAAAACTAAATTTCAAATTTGAGCTTGTCCAACTTATCTATCTATTTAGACATTATAATGAAAAAAGTAACATTTATTAGATTGCTTAACACCTATAAAAAATTCAGAGTAGATCTCAAAGTGGAATTTATTGTTCCGACCATTTGAAAAATGGAGAGGAACTTTGCGTTCGGGTGTTTTTAGTTATTTTTTCTTTTTCTTTTCCACCCAAAATCAGGTACCACAAATAATTATCGGAATGGGGCGAGTGATACATCATATTAAAACCGTTTCAATCGTGATTCGAACGACATTAAAAAATGTTAAACATTTTTTCACAGTGTCGAGACAAACCGGTTTGAAACTTTTGATTTTTGGTCTAATTTCGAACTAATATGGTGTGAGCGTAATGCTTACAATAGCTTATTTAAGCTGAGTTTAAGTCGTGAAAACTTACTTGTACTCAAATAAAAGGTAGTTTTTGGAGTTTTCTAGAGCCATTTTGTAAACAAAGGTTAAAAATTCCAATAATTAAAAAAAAATTACAATTTTTGTTTTGTTTTTCTAGTTGATTTTTTTCAAAAACTGTTTGCCTAATGGCCTTTTTTACTATGACTGTCAAATATGCCTAACTTTTTTTCCTGCCACGACACTAATTTGAAAAAAAAAGTTTTTGCTTTTTCGACTGTGGTCGAAACATTCTGTGCTACTTGCACAAGAACCGCCTATTCTTTGTTTAAAGTTTGTAATATGCTAAAACTTAAGCAAAACTTCCATTAACAATGTTCCTCCTAAAAATTTTAGAGCAAAACATGCTTGAGAATTAAATTAGTTTTACAGAGGCAAAGCATCGCTCCGCATTACTCGCGCTACACGGAAAAAGTGATTCTACAAGGTTAAAAAACATTACAGATTTTTTTTTACTTTCAAGGAATTTGCGAGATTAACATTTGTTAGACGTACAATTGAATACATAGGCTATTTGAACATTAAAAAGCAGCTCTTTAACAGCTCAGGCTAGTGAGTAGAAACATAGTTAACAGACAATTGGAGAAACTTCAATGAACTAAAGCAAACCAAAAAAAACTGATTCTTTTGGAAATGAGTTTCCAGAGAAAAATTTTTTTATAACCCTCAAGCTCACGAAATTTTAAGAAACATTTAAATTGGCAAGTTCAGGGCTGCGAAATCTTAAAGTTGAAATCCACTATCAAAATAAAAACTGCGCAACGTTTTTTTGCGCCATTTGCACATTTTAAACGGGAGAACGTACTTTGTCTTGCTTTTAGCAAATGGAATCGAATTGAGAGAAAAAATAATCAAACTTGAGTGAGTTCACATATTTTGAACACTTTTGAGAAAAAATCAGCACGATTTAGTTCAGTGCCTACAGACATAGAAACAAGACAAAAGGACCATTCAATTCATATTCAGCTAGCCTCTGTTATCCAGTGAGACAGCTGGTAATAATGAGAAATTGTACATGTTCCGACTGCCACTACTGTCTATAAAAAAAATTTATTTGAAAAAAAAAGATGAACTTGAAAAAAAAAACGATAAGAAAATTCCAGACTTTTCAAGTCTTCTAATCCCCCATCAATGCCGCTATTTAAACATATAAACTGATATTATGAAATTCGCTTCGCCTAGTAGAAGCTATTTAAATGGCAACATTGCAAAATATTGCAAAATCATCATGCCCAACTAGGGTTGTTTGTTGCTTCAACTTCGAACAAACTAGCAGTGGTGGCTTTCTGTGAAATTTGTCTTAGGAAAAATGATCAGATTAATGTAAATGGCATAGAAGATATCCGAAAAGAGTTATCAATCACTAAAATCAAGTTTGGTGTAGTGGCATTTGTGAAAAGAGAAAAATTATTCACTATGTACTTGAATCGAACTCGTTGGATGAAAAAATTAAGATCATCCGTTGTTTGAAGACCACCGTCAATTAAGTCATCCATCTTTTTTCTCCAACTTTATTTCAGACAAGTTTTAGGTAGGTGACTTTGAGATGATCTATCTGTTCAATACATTATCAGATGCGATTATTGACGAGTACGAAATATAAATTTATTTTTCAAAAAATTCCATTGGAGATTAACATAATACGCAAAACAACAAGCCCTTGATATGATTCGATCACTTCATATCCAGAAAACAACTGAGCTGTGACATCTTTTATTGATCACTACGGATTTTGAAAAATAACGAAGAAAAAGTTTGACACAGAGCCGAAGCGGAGCTTCTCAACACATGCGGTACAACAAAAACATAGCGTTTCAAAAAAGTGAATATAAAAAGAGACGGAGGTTGGATTTAGTTGGAAAAAAATGCTTGAAAAAATCGCTCTAATAATTAACTTCGATTATCAAACGGCAACTATCTAGAGCCTAAACCAAAGAACTCTCATAATAAAATTTTGAGCTATAAGGTTGAGAGAATTTTTACAGAACATGTTTTATTGGTGGGATACGATAAAAATTTCGGAAAATGAGAAAAAAGCAGGTATTTTTCCTCAAAAAAAATAGGGCGCAACCGTTTATGCAGGGAACATCTCTACACCATGTTCTTTCAAATCAATCAATAACCTCAGAATTGGCGGGCAGTGTTTGAAAAAGTAAAAAATTCTAAGAAACGATCAAAACTCAAATAATGTAACTTTTCGGAAAATTAAGTCTACTTTGGTACAGAAATTGGGGCGTAGCCTTTTTTCCGATTGTTTCTTTAAATCCAGATTTGGGAGTGTAGTTTTTGAGCACAGTCAAAAAAATGTATTTTGTGAGGCCTTCAATAATTTAGATAAAAAATTAGGTCAAAAGGTGTAGCCGCTTGTGCAAGGAAAAACCCCAAAACCAGTTTTATCGATTTAACCATTAATCCCAGATATGAGATATTAATTTTCCAGAAAAATAAAGGGCGAAAAGTTTGAAAAGATGCTCAAACGGTCAAAAATGGCCTTTTTTGAGGTCATGAGTTTTTTCAATATAAATAAAGTCATAGCGGCTTTTACATAAAAGATCCCCGAAAAAACATTTTCCCCTTAATACCAGATTTGGCGAGGTGGTCTCTGAAAATGAACAGCGAAGTCTAATAAAAATTGAGTCAAATATTCTCTCCAATGAATATTTCGAAAGCCGTTGAAGGCGGAAAAAAATAAAAAGACTAGGGATATATGCAGACACACAATGTAGTAGCTGGTCTTTTCATTGGTACCAATTGCTTGAAAATCGAATTAGTAGTTGCCAAGAACAATTTAAGCGAAAAATGCAAAAAAATTCAAAGCGTCTCAAAAAGATAAAAAGACATGAATTAAATCCCCGACATTCTCATAATAGCTGATTTTGTCAAGCAGGAACTTCATGATTCAGCCAATAAAACATAAGTTGAAACCGCTTAATAAAAAAAAACTTTGAAAATTGACAAATTACAGAACTTCCCTTTATAGTAGGAAAAAACATTTAAAATCAATATGAAATCCATGATCATAAATAAAACCGATAAAACATTACTAAATAAAATAAACTCAAATAAAAAAAAACGAAAACTAACCGACGTAAACTAGACCGAAAACCACGAATCCGAAAAAGCATCAAAATTTTTTCCAGAAACTTATTTGAGAAAAAATACTACCGGAATCAGACTACACATATTTACTACCTACGATAAGATAGTTCTATGTGAGCTTTCAATAATTGAGCATGTCTTGGTTAACCATTCCAATAAAATTTTCTATTCTGTGAACAAAATTATTTAAGTGAAAAAAGTCGAAAGGGTAAATAACGAGAGCTAAAATACTTGTACTAAAAACCACTTAAAGTACGTACACAGAACTCTCGGAAGAGATAACTCTGACAGAAAACTAGCATTACTAGCAGAGAAAAACATCCAAAAATTTTGCAAGCTGAAAAATTCAGCAAAAATAGCAACAAAACAGTCTGCTCAAAATCAGTCATTCATCCCGTCTATCAAAAATACAAGGTATGGTATACTGCAAGTTTCAGTGTTAGGACCTTTACTGTTTTTATATGAAAAATCCAGCCGAAATATCAACCACTGGAAATTACTCTTTGCGGATAGTAAAACTACGAGAAGCAGCGATTCAGAAACATCTAAGAATGAATTTCGACCAGAATACTGAATAAATGACTGATGCAATTTTTGATGCCTAAAATTTTTGATGTCTGTAATTTTTTTTAGATAACGCAAATCAATAAGGTAAAAAAACAAGATTGAACAAGAAGGTAGATATGGTTTAAAAACG